CCCCTTCTCCAGACATTTCATGGCCAGGGGCACAGCCTGTTACTGTGCCAGCCTGTCACCCTCTACGAGCAGCCCCGGGGCATGTCCTCTCCCCAGGGGTCAGCGTTCGCCCTTGCAGTTCTACAGGGAGAAAAGCTGTGCAGCTCGTGGCCCAGCAGCCGCCTTCCTCCTCGCACCAGCCTTACCAGGCATCTCCCAACCCAACCCCAGGTTTCTGCCAGGAGCGAGCACCCCCCACAGCGCAGGGGGCTGAAGGGGGCTGTGGAAGCCTTTCCCCCCCCCCCCCACCGCCTCGCTCCCCCCAGCCCCTGCTGTGGGCGGGCAGGGGGGGATTTGCTTCTGCATCCTTCCCCCCCACTGTCCCTCAGCTGCATCGTGCCCAGACGCTTCCCAGGGGTGCTCATCCCACCCAGCAGTTCTCTCAGGTCCCCTTGCTCACCCGCTGCCCAACCTGCAGTTTGCCTTCCCTATTAAGCAAGGAAGGTAACTGTTTTCCCTAGGGCTCAACTCAGCCCTTCAGCCTGATAAAACACATTAAACCTGAGAAATCAGACAAGAAATGGGCGCTCTTTTGCAGGACAGGGCTGATGATCCATCAGAGGAATGCAAAACAGTGATCCTGCCCATCGAGTGACCGATCAGATGTGGTTACTTCTGCTGCTGCGGGTGTCTCTGCCGAGCCCTTCTACCATCTCCAGCAACCCGAGTGTTTCATTTCAGTTGCACCATCTCCTTTGGAAAATGCCAGTTTTGGTCTGGCAGCTGCGTTATCAGATTCTCATTCACACCAGGGCCCGGATTTCTGGAAGGAAAACAAAATCAGCTCCAAATATCCTGCCTCGAGCATCGCCGCCCGCCCGCGCCTGAGGGCTCAGCAGCCTGGCACCACAGACGATTTATCTCAGCGCCACCGGTATCCTCAGCCTCGGCTGGGGTAAGACGAACATCCCCTGTTAATACAAGCAACAAGGAGCAGCAGGAGGAACAAGCTGTATTTCTCGGCTTTACAGATGTGTAGTAACAGGATCTGTTAGCTGCCCCGGTGTGCAGCCCAGCCAGTGAAACACTGCTGGATTATTTTCCTCTCTTGGCTGCTCCGTTTGTTCGTGCTATCACTAGCTAAACGCGCTGCAAGCATAATAAATGAGAACAAGCCTATTTGCATCATTACAGTTCCCTCTTGTCACGTCCCGCTCAGAAGAGGGAGACAAGTGACTTCAATTAATAAATCCCCAGCAGAGTGGACAACAGTGAGACGAGTCTCAAAGTCCAGACATTTATTAATTTCCCACAATGTACTAATTAGATACATGATAATTAGCTCAGTATACAACAAATTACGGCAAGCAATATAGTATGCCTTGTGTTACCTAATGATAATAAGGAAATGGGAGAAAAGAAAAGAAGATAGAGAGAGGTAGAAATAAGGATCACCGGTCCAGGTTCCTGTCCATCTCCTTCACTTCCTATCCTTTGCTTGCTTTTTGCTTCTCTCTCACTCCTCGCCCCCCACTCAATTTATACACACTTTCCTTGGGTCCCTCCCCTTGGTCGACCGATCCATCCACATATGGGGAGGGGTAAGGTGCTTTATGGGATGATGTAATTAGCATGACCTTGTTGATCTTCATTAGCATAGTCAGGAGTGTCAACTTTAATATGCATTTCATGGATAATGAAGCAAAGGTCACTCGCTGGACACATGGCCCTTGAACCTTCACAAGCTGCACCAGAGCAGGGCCGTCCTGCCCCCACAGGCCCCCCCAGCCCCATCCTGTGCTACCCCGGCAGCCTTATCAGCTCCAGAATCCACATTATTCACCCCGTGACTATAGTTTAGTTACTTGCAAGTGTCTGAGGCGTTCCTCGGCTCATAAGGTCTCTGCTCACCCCCATCCCTTATCTCTTTCTCAGGCTGTTTTTCTCAGTCCCTGTTTTGGGGAGTTGCAAGTCGTCTCTCACACCTCTGCTTTACTCACTGGAGATTTGCATAAAGTCCAGGCGTTATTTTGGCAAAAAAATCACTGCCACCCACTTCCCATGTCCTCCCGTGCCTGCGTTTTTTGTAGTTTAAAACTCACTTTTAAGGAGAAGTTTTAAGGCAGAGGCAATCCGCCACTGCAGATGGATCTTAAACTGGTGCTCCATGCGAATCCTCCTCTTGATTCCCCCTTTGCTCCACGTGCAGGTAACAAACTCTGCTCCTGTGTGGGAAAAGGCCATGCCCTGAGTCATGGCACTGCCCTACCCTTGAGCTTTTTCCTGTTTCTTCCTTAAAACAAGGGCATCAGAGCGCTTAGGGGTCAGTCATTTCATTTTGACTACAATAAATATGCTGGAAAATCCAGTTCTGGCAAGATCACTATCACAGGTTCCAGGTGGAAGGTTTCAGGCAATAAATGAAGATATAAAGAGCTTCCAACTCTCCCGGGAGGGACCACGTGCTGTCCCTAACAGCAATGTATGGGACCAAAGCTCCTTCCAGCCTCATGCTTCTACAGCACAGCACTTGGGAATTGAACTGAACCTTGAATACAGTTAAGAGGCTGCATTAAATACCACCCACCCCCTCCTCCCCGTTAAAGAAAAGGATGAGCTTCACATCACCAGGAGGGCAGTGATGAAGGCAGCCTGAAGCTCAGGCACACTTCAACCCATCCTTCCCCCCTTCAGATGCCATCGGCTGGTGTTAAAGGCAGTTTAAGGTTTAAGCTTGAGCGGGTTGAAACAATGACGACCGTGATCTCCACTGCTGACATGCACAGCTCACCCAGCAACCCCCCCAGCACCCACACAACACTCTGCACAGCCACAGTCCAGGGATTCCGGGTAAAGGTGTGAAGGGGTAATTTTGGCACAGCAGTTTCAAGGGATAATATTTGGGAGCCTCTTCCAATACCATTGGGCCCTTCTAGGATGCTGTTCAACCCCAAACTTGTTCTCAGTTACCCCCCCCCCCCGCCCCAAACCCACAGCTGCCACTCTTGGCTCTCTTTGCTTTACAAAATAAAGGCATGTGGAGATCAAAGTGCAGCCCCAAAGTACCCAGATGCTGAGATTTTCAGGATTTTCTGGGAGATGCAGCACCAAGACATCCTTGGGCTTGGGTAGCACAGAGCTGTACTACAGCAGGGGACGTGGGACCTGGCACTCATGAACCAGCCAGAAGGATACTGCATCACCTTTACATGCAAAGAGGAGCATCTCTTCACCTGGAGGTGAAGTGCTTGGAGCAATATCAACCTCGGGTAGGTCTGTTCCTTTGCAATCCTCTTCCCTAAATCACTGTACGACAGGCCATGGTACCATCCTGCACAGCAGGCAGGGAAACCCATATGGCTTGGAAAGAAACCTGGGCAAGAGAGGGGATTGGGCAGCACGGGGAGCAGGGGGCACCTGCGAGGAGTTCAGCAGGGACACAGCATCACACCCAAGTGAAACACCCAGATACAGCACGATGGGCGCTAGCTTTAACATCCCCTGGGGGTTTTCCACTGCTCTGACACATCCATCGTTGCATTTAATTCACAATTTTCCCAAGTTGCTTAACAGGAATGACCTGTTCTCAGCAAGGGAAGGGGAATAAAAATTGAAAAATAGACATTAAGCATTGAGAAACTCAGGAGGGAAGCAGGGTGTTGATTTTATGTTTTCATTTGAAAATAAGAAGGAAAAAAAAAATACAGATTAAGCTACTCTGCTCCCTCATGCCGTGTGTGACCTGTTGTAAAGAAAAGTCATGAGAGATGTTGGTGCTTTGCTGCTGAAAACATGAACAGATCGGGTTACTCCCAGGATGAATAATTTCTTCTGGGAGGTGCCACCCCTGACCAGTGACATTCTGAAGCTCAAAACCTCTTCATTTCCATCAAGGGGGAGTTGAGTGGTTCATCCGTGGATCTACTGGCCATGAGTGCTGGATGTTTGGCTCTGCTGTGACCCTCATTTCCCTGCGCAACCCTCCTCGTCACACTCTTCACCCAAGAGAAAAGCCAAAAGAGGGCCCCGGTCACCCCAAGCCTATACAGGATTGCTCCAGGAATCCCAGTGGGATGAGATCCTGCTAAACGAACCCCAGCTCTGAGGCTGTTTTGGGCTGTCCCTCACATGCTCCATGTTTGCTGGTTTCCACGTGTTTGACAGAGGAGCCCACGGGTGCCCTGACCACCTCCACAACTCTACTCCTGCCTCAAACCCCACCCTGCAATATTAATCTTGTTGCATAAATAATCCTCCCTACATATTTTCCAACCACTCCACCTTGGAAATGAACGGCTCCCTACAGCTCTGAGGAAGCTGTGTCCTCTGAACCCCCTCATCCACCTTGGGAGCGGATGCAGAAATGCAGCTCTTTCCCTCGTGCACCAATCCTGCTGTACTTGGCCCAAATCCCGTAACAGCTCCAAAACTGCAGAATGACTCACTTTGGCTGGCATTTTCAGGCGGGTTTGTTCTAAAGCTGCATTTTTTTTTCCAGCAGTGCCGCCAGCTGGAAGGACCAGAGATGGAGGATGCTCCTTGGCCAGGCCCTGTCCTCCAGCTGCCTCTCCATGCAGGGTGGGAGATGCTTTAACCCTCCTGGTGCCCCAAGGGTTGAATTTCCTTCCAAACCCTTAAGATTTAGCTATAAGGCTGGTTGTACTAGTACCTCCAGGTCAGCCAACGGCCAGCTGATATGGTGTCCCTGGTTGAAAAATCACTTGTAGGTAAAGAAGTAAAGCTTCCCCAGGGTTTGGTGCTGGCTCCCTAAGCCACTTGCCACCTCTCTGTCAGCAGCAGCCGCTGCTTGTCCCCGCCAGGGAACGGCCTGGGACGTGTCAATGTTTAACTGAGCTGGGAAGGACGTGTGGGCATGTTCGTGGGAGCCAGTCCCAGCCTCAGCAGCCGCAGGGGCCCACAGTCACTCACAAAGGTCCCTCCACGTTCAGGGAGGACGGTGCATGAGGGGATTTCTTTTTTTTTTTTTTTCCCTTCTCCTTTCAAAGCCGCCGCCCTGCAAAATGGGCCTGAGCTCTTCCAAGGCGCACCCCAAGGTGACCCAGGTGGCACCGCTGCGTGCCGGGGAGGAGCTGCCCACTCTCACCACTCTGTACCAGCTGCCCGGTGTGCTGGGAGAGCCCGGCCCGCACCCCCCAGCCACGTCGGAGTGGAGAAAACCCACCTTTCACCGGGAACTTCCACCTCTCCGGGAGACCTGGTACGGGAGAGTCTCTGCAGGTAAGGGCATCACCAACAAATTCTTGAGGAGCTCAGGGCAGAGACCCACGGGGCATCAGCTGGGGCTGCAGCACAGGGCGGGTGTCGGTCTGTGCACGTGCTGTTCTGCATCAGCAGCTTTTTGCCATTTCAGCTTCGGGAAAACTGATTTCCACCACCCTCACCCGCCCCCCCCCCCCCCCAGCCTGTTTTGGAAAGCATCTCAGTCACCAGATCCCAGGCTCCTTGCTCCCATCAGTCGTCCCCCGTGGGAACAGCCCCACTCCTGGCATCGACCTGGCACGCGATGGCACCAGCCTGCATCCCAGCAGGTCCTCGTACAGCAGCCCCTTAACTCCCAGTTATACCCCTCTGCTCATCTATCAATATCATTAGCTTAATTAGAATTAGATTCTAGGTAATGTCCCTAGCAGGTAAAATTCATCATTAAAATAAATTATAGCCATGTCTTGCACAAGGCTGATTTCCATAAGCCAAGAGGCAGGAGGCAGCAAATAGCGTAGCTCTGTGTGTTTTTCTACAAGCAGCGTCGTGCAGCCTCTCCCGCAGCCTTTCAGAGCAGGATTTAAACTCCATCCGCACCCAAACCTTTCCCGGAGGCGAGGAAGGAGGTTTGTATCCATCTGTACAACGAGCCGCGTGGGGACGGCTTCCCACAGCCGCGTTAGGTGAGCGTAGGGAGAAACCCCCACGAATGTCAACGTGGTTTGAGACAGGGCAATGCAGAGGAAGGAGGATCCGTAGCCTTAGCACCCTCCTCCCCTCCCTCCCATTCCCAAAAACGAATTTCTCTCGCATGCTGAGCAGTGTTAAATTCCACTGCTTTGCTGGGGGCTGGATATTTCCCTCAGGATCATCCACCGAGAGGCAACAGGAGAAAGCGAAAACAAATAAACCTCTGGCACAACAGCGGCGATGGTCCCAGAGCCAGAGGCCCGGGGGCAAACACAGATCAGGTCTGGCTGTACGACAGGGGGTTTCAATTAATTCATGACAACAAGAACAACCAAGTATTCCTGTTCTGGAAAACTAACATCACTGGGTATTTTACAAGTGCTTGTAAAACTTGTACTTTTACAAAAAACTTTAAAACCCCCCTCAATAAATGTCATTTTCTATTATTTTTCATTTTCAGAAATAATAAAAAAAAAGTATGCTCAAGAGTACTTGAGCAATGTATTAGCTTGAGCTGTTCTCTAAATAAGCAAAGCCTCCAAGAGAATAGGTTTTATTTGGTTTATGAGGGTTCACCTTGGCTTGTGCTAAATCCCGATTCCTCCAGTGGGAAGCTGCTATTAAAGTGCAAGGCTAAAAAATAAAAGTCACGAGAATGATTTCAGCTTGGGCCCCGTGCTCCCTCGATGGGAGGGACGATGGTCCCTCCCCGCCAGCATCGTGTGGGTGGGCCAGGGACCGTCCCTGCCCCAGGACCGAGCAGGTTTGGGGACAGCATGCGCATGCCTCCCAGTTCTGTATCTGTACAGGATAAGGGCAAATCTCCTGCACGACACATGCACGTGAGGGAATGAAAGGGAAGAATTTAAAAAAAAAAAAAAAAAAAAACCACACACACAAAAATTCCCCCCAAAACTAAGACACAAACCCCAAAACAACAAAAAAACACACCCCAAACACACCCCATCAAACCCAATAAGGGAGAAATAACTTCCCCAAAGCCACACCCCAGACCAGAACAAACTTCTCCTAAACCTCAGCCCTTTGCTTGTGCTGGGTCCCACATTCCCAGCACCATGAGCCACTTCCTTACATTTTGCTTCCCCTTTAGAAACTCCCTATGCACCGATTTGCCATGCAGATTGAGAGGCAATAATTTAATAACCCCCCTTTTGCTATTACAAGCTGTTATTTCAGCGTGTGCTCCCCAGCAGCTGAAGTCCATCTCCAGAGGAGCCTCCTGCACTGTAAATTTTCACTCCAGGTGCCCATTCCTGCACACGTGCAGAGCAGCCGCAGCTTTGCTCAGCGGTTAATCATTGCTGGTGCTCAGCAGAGCCCAACAATCATTTATCTGACAGAGTCACCATTGCCTCACACACCCCAACACCCTCCATCACCTTTTCTCTCTTCTCCAAGAGCCCTGCATTAGCAGCCTTCCACAGCATTCATTTAAAGGGAGCACTGAAGTCCCCCCAAAAGGTGCCCTCCAAATTATTATTTTTCTTTTTAATATAACTATTAAATTTGGCATCAACTATAATGTAATTCCTGCACTTTATTCCTAACTCCCCGCCCCTGCAGCCACCTCAGGGCTCCCACCATGGGGTTGCAGGAGCTGCTCAGCAACATCTCACTCATTTCCACATATACAATGGCATTTGAATGCATCAGCATGTTTTTGGGGGAGAATGGGTGGGATAGGGAAACTCTTTTTGTAAAAGGAATACTTACTGCACATGAAAGTACTTATTTGTGCAAGAAAAAATAAAAGGCAGCAGTGACCACCCGAGAGCACCAGTGCAGAACAGACCGGAGCCCAGATCACGCCCAAGCCTCAGCGAAAGCATTGCTTTAATAAATAACTGGTGACTGCCGGTGTGTAACATGTTATTTCAAGCTGATTTCCAAAAACGAAGGTTTGTGATCATACCAACTGTCTGACCATAACCCACTAATTTCTGAACCCACTGGCTGGCTGTAGCCCAGCTCTGCTGTGGTCAGCAAGAGCAGCAGAGATATTTCTCAGTTCCACCAAGAAATAACAATAATAAAGTCTCGGGGACTGAGCAGCAAGAAAAGGCCCAAACTGCTGCTTGTTCCCCACTTTAAAAGGGCAGGCAGCGAGGAAGCAGCAAAGCTCACGGGTTTCTTGGCCAGCTGATGGTCACAGGCCATGGGAGGAGAAGAGGACCCTTGGCCACACAGGGGACCCAGGGACTTGGGGAAGCCATGGGACACATGGACAATGGTTATTGTCACATATAGGATGTATGAGGGGTTATAGAGGTAAGTAGAAGAAGTACACAGCAGACACAGTTGTTAGAAACCACAGGTACATTATTTCTACAGCTAATAGAATAATTTACACCAGGTGTTATTGGAGTACCCCAAGAGAGACTTTAGCGGGACATGCCAACCCAAAAATAGAGCAGAAAACTGTTGCTGAGTACAACCTAGCTGTTGACGATCACCCAAAAGTAACTTCATCCATTTCTCCTCTAATCTTTAAGGGCCCCTTTCTTTCAACACTGTGATGGAAAAGGGAGAAACCAGCATCATTAAACAGCACCCACCTCGGAGACCTCAAGTAAGGCGAGTTTGAAAATCTCCCTGTGAGTTGGTCTGATTGACCCATTGATGTGGGCTTTTTCGGGGATGTGGACACAAGTCACGGCACCATGGCAGGGAAACAAATATCCTACAGCAATGCAAGTGGGAGGGCCTGCCTCTAGATGATCACCCCTAGATGAGCTTTAGCACCAGCCCAAATTTGGTACCTGGGGCAGAGCTGGTATGCTGACCGCAGAGAGGTTATTTTTGGTTCATTAGCACAAGGGAGAGGGCTTCATCTTCTAAGAACAAAGAGGGGACAACACAGCAAGGCCCTGCCTTTGCCCTCCTGCCTGATGCCATACTCTCATGTGCTATGTGGACACCCAACGAGGACACATGTCCCAGCACTGGCCATAAGGCCATTTCTTCTGTAATGACCCAATTTCCTTTGTGGTGTCCGGGTACCTGCAGCCAAATCTTGGCTCCTCCATGGAGATAACGTGGCCAAGACCGAGCCCTTTGCAGAAGGGATCCAACTTGCATCACGTGGGGCTGGTTTTGGCTGTTCAGGTCAAATATCCCATCAAGGTCTGGCATCAGCTTAGGGGCAGAGGCAGGTAAAGCAGACAGACGTGCTTTGCAATAGGGGCCAGTGAAAGCACAGGGCCATTATTTTAGGTTTCAAAAATTGCTATGCATACTGTGTACCTACATGTACCTTCACCTTCTCTACTCAATAGCATGGCATATGCATGTGCACACACACACACTTGTATAACTAGATATAAAAAAAAAAAGAAATCCCCTCAAACAAACATAAAACACGCTTGTTCAGTCCTCCTTGACCTCCTTCCCTTCCCCCTCCTGCACTTCCCAAATCCCTTTCCCCTCCAAGTCCTGAAACATAACTAAAGCTCCAGAAATATCTTTATATCCATATAAATTATTGCAGGGGAGGAAAAGAAACATGGCTAATGTACTGTGCTGCACAAGGGTTACAGCTGCTATTTCTTTTTCTTTTTAAAAGTGACAAGAAGCCCTCCACATGCATTTTCTGTGCTGATATTTTTCTGTACTGATGCTTTTACACAATACAAAACCTGGGTGAGGCTCAGACCTCAGAGAGTCCCCATCATGTGCTCACAGGGCTAAGCTGGAGCTGCATCACCAGGGCTGTACAACTCCTACCATAAATCAGGTTATTTAAAACCCAAACCCAGAGAAGCACACTGCTTTCCTCTGAATTTTTATTACTTCTCCACACCCTCCCAAATCAACCAGCAATGCCTTCCAACCACCCATCTCTTACCTCTTCACCGCTGAGGATGCAAAGCTGCCAGTGTTTGACTGAGATTGATGTCTGCCTCCTTCCCAACGTGCCCACAGAGGGTCAGAGAGGGGCGCTGGGGACACCAGGCTCAGCCCAGCTCTGGGTGCCCCAGAGCAGCATTTCCTCCACTTTGCCCTTCAGTTCTTTCTCTTTCAGAGCACCTGCTTGAGGCTTTTACCTGCATTTCTTCTCTGCTGCTTAGCCCAGGTCTGGGAGCTCTAAAAGTGAGAGCAAACAGGGCCCAGAGCAACAAAATGAGGGCGGGGGAAAGGGACAACAGGAACAGACCCCCTCCAAACACAGGCACAGCAGGATGCTCTGTTTGGGGAAGCACTCAGGTGCTGGAAATAATCCCTCCCCTCCCTCCCCCCAGTGCTTTCATTTAGGCAGGACTTTCAATTAGCAATTAAGGACCAATGTTGTACCTACTGCCGAGACTCCTCTAAGAGAGCCCAGCTGCAGGGGGCACATCAGCGACCTAATTAGGTGGCTGGAGAGAGTCCTCAGTGGTCAGTGGCTGGGGATAAACAGAGGCAAACACACTTCTTGGCTATTTAACCCACGAAAGAGCTGTATTTGCCCTGACTGGCCATGTGCTTCTCTAACACTCCTGTGGGTACTGGGTTGTCCCAGCGCTGGGCACAGCTGAGAGCAGCCCTGGGATTGCCCTGGGTTACACCAGCACGGAACTGCCCACGCTGATTGTCTTCCTTCCCAGGCATCTATATAACCCCTTGCAATTCAAATCCGTGGGTGAAGTTCTCACCTCCCTGTGCTGCTTTGAGACCCCCTTATTCCTTCCTGACAGCATCTCCACTTTCCTAAAATTCAGTGACAAATCCTCTGCACATGTCCCACAACAGCAAACCCACCGAAGCAGGGCTGCTTTGCTCAATCCTTCCTCACTGCAGTTAAGATCTTTTTTTTATATAAAAAAACCAGACAGGGTCAGTTTTTTTATATAAAAACACCAGACAGGGTCAGTTAAGCCCCCTCTGCTCCAGGCTATGGCTCTGGCCAAGACTGGTGGCTTCAGAGAGCACAGATGGCCACTGACCATTGAATAACATGTCCCTGGATTTGGTGGGGGGATGAGGCAGCAGCACCTGGAATGAGCCCAGCTACACCCGGTGAACTGTCATGTGGAATCACAGCCTCATTTAAAATCTCCAACCAGCACATAATTTTTAGTCATTGATCTTATTTCCACAACAGCTGTGTTTACATACACACTGGTAAAACTCATTGCAGGACAGTGACACTGTTAATCCTACCTCGTGCTTCTGCCACTGCTGTTAGTGAGTGTAAACTGCACCAGCAAAAGCCGTTTTCCCTGCAGGAATATTTTCAAAGACAGTGGATCAGGATGACGTGGACTTCTCAAGGACTTTTAGAGGATTTTGGTCAGACAGTATTTCCAGAGAAAAATCCCATGAGGTTCGCAGAAATGAAAGAAAAGAGTCAATTTTCCAGCCTATGACACAACTTTAGCCGAAAGCCTGAAACTTGGCTTCCCCACCGGGCACAGTGAGATGAGCTGATAGATGTAGGAGTTTATTTGCCTTCAGCCACCCTGTGCTGGATGCCTCGGTGGCCTCTGGGAGTGATGCACAACCCAGACTGCAGTTTGTGGTGTCACTTGCTGCCATCTAGTGCCATTTTTTAAGCTTCATATTCAGTTTTGTGGGATTTTTTGATGCTGGGACGTGAACTTGGCATTTGGGGCTGATGGGGAATTCCCCCTTTACATGAAGCTGCTGACTTTTTTTCTCCTGTGTTTTTGCACTGATTTACAGGATGTTTCCAAAGTACAGCTCAGGCTTTGGCAGCAATTCAGTGCAAGCGGTCAGAGACATGTCACAATTTATTGGATACTAGTTCATATTCAAGGAGTTAACGATATCCCACACTAAGTGTAAGTCAGATCTTACTGATGAAGTCCTTGATGATGCTCTCCTTAATTTTTATGGAAGCAGTACGGGGCTCCCATCCTACAAGGGGACACAAAATATCAAGCCATGAAATGACCTAGTATCATCTAGTAGTTTGTCATGATTTAAAGAGGCAACTTAACTCCTTAAGATACAAATCCATGCTCAGAGCGGTCAGTAAAGCAAGTCTTTTCCCACTTCCATTAGCCACCAGGAAAGGCACTTTGTACCGTGCACAGTTCTGCAGATAAAAGTCTGACTTAGGCCAACATAAAAGAGATTGTTTGCACGGAGGGGATGGTGCTCTGGGTCTCAGGTAACCGGGATCTGCCCTCAGATGACCTGCTAGGAGACTTGCTGTTAAATTATGATACCCCCTCCATGCTTCAGATTGGACATGAAATAATCTGGGCTGGGTCTGGTCTTGGTTGGAGCCTCGGACACTGTTGAGGCTCAAAGAGAAATACCTACAGGGATGAAACTAATGTCAAACTGCATTTCTACTGTTTTGATTATAAGGCAGGAGATTCCTCCAGTTTTATCCACTCTTGAAGGTCCAAAGGATATGTCCGTCTTGCTGAGCATCTGCTAGAGGTGCCAATCTCCTTCCTGTATCCCAGGCAGCCAGGCCAGAATTGGAGCTGTGAAAATGTCAAGGTAGTTTCATATCAGGTTTTATGATTGTGTGGAACAAGCAATGCTGAATATTGTAAATATTGGACTTGTAGAGGCTTGAACCTGCTGGCCCTCCACAAGCAATCATTCCTGCAAAGCTCTGGAGTCAGCAAGAAGTGGCTGCAAGCCCCAAAACAAAGGTAAGGGCATGAGTTAAGCTCTGTGCATAGACCATTGCTGGCTGCAGGCTCTCACAGTTTGGGCACCCCAAAGAGCAGAAGTTGGTGTTTTACACCGGCTGCGCTCCTGTCCCTGGCTGAGCCCAGGAGCCAGCTGAAACACCAGCGTGGGGTGGAAGGATACACAATAAGGGGAAAGTTTCTGAATCTACAGTTCCCTGGATGAAGTTGATCTGCTGAGCCAGGACCTTAAATATTTTTGAGGCTAAAGGTTTGAGGACCGCTGTTTTAAATGGCTGAGCAACTTGAACACCCATCGCTTGCAGTCGGCAGGGAGAAGGCTGCCAGTGCTGTGTGCTGTAAACAGCCCCTGCAACCCTAAATGTGCCAAAGTGGTTCCTCCCTTCAGATCATGAGATTATCTTGGACGGCTGACTCAAAGCAGTAACACCTCGGGGGGGCAGAAGCATGTATACATTGTTTTAATGAAGATTTTTTCCATCATGCCCCCGAGCTGTGAGATAAACTGCAAGTGCAGTGGAAATCCGTGATAAATTTCTACAAGCTGGCTACACAGGGCGACGCTCACTGCCTTTAACCAGGGGGTGCCCAAGGGGCTGGGCATGGGTTTGCGAGCTGCTGGCTGTTCCTTCCTCTGTCAGAAAGTGCAGGTGTATGCATTTATGATTTTAAATACCTCGTAGGCTCTGGAGAAGAGGGGGCAAAGCCCGAGACACCTCCCTGGCAGGCGGCAGCACTTGCACAAGCTGCAGATGCTGGACTTGACCCGCAGGCGCCGAGAGGTAACGCTGAAACGGATTCGGGTATAGGTTGGGGCTTCCCCTCTCAGACAAGGGTTTTCACATCCCTGGTGTCTCTCCCATGGACCAGGAGGCTGAAAGCCTGTTGCTGGGATGGGCAAATGAAGCTCCCGCAGTGGCTCAGGCAGAAGAGAGTTGGGGAGCATCCCCAGGGCCCAGATGATCAGTAATTACTTCTGATTTTTCCAATGCTTTGCCCTCATTTGGCTGTGTCCCATGGACAAACCAAAAATTTCTATCCAGGTCATGTTCTGTCATGTACCCAGTTTGGCAAATACCATTTGCTCTGGCGAAGCTACTCGACTGCGTAATCATTTTCAGTGCCAACCCCCTAATGATATGCCACACTGAGCTGTTAAAACGTGTTTGCTCCTCTGATGCTTGTGTTGATGACTCGTTTGCAAACCCAGGCAGAGCTGAAGAGAAATCTCCACAGGGAGGCAAAAATCAATAAACAAAAAATCAAGGAATTCAGCCCGAAGAAAGTCCTTGACAGTCTCCAGGGAGGAAACAGCACCGAAAGCCAAGACCTTGTCCCTGCTGAGCACAATCAGCGTTTTCATGGAGACGACTGTGGTAAGTAGAATAATTTTCCAAGGAGATGTAAAACCCTCCAGCCTCTTAAATGGTACCAAGGAAGTTTCCCTATGGAAGTTGCTTCCACTGCTCCATCTCCTGCAGTCACACGGTGTGAGTTCAAAAGACTGGGGTGGTGGAGAAGGCTGGGAGATGTGTTCATAAAGCTGGGATGCCTCAGAGCAGGACTCAGATCTCTGGGCTGCTGCTCTGATAGCAGCCAAACAGACCTGAGTAGATGTGAATTAAGCGACACGGGTTAGCCGCAGGGGCATAAAAGCAAAGTCTTCAGGGCCAGGCCCCTTCAGGAGCAGGTTCCCACTGGCAGGAGAGTCTCAGCTTGTCCCACATGTCCCCTGCACAGCAAACTGCACATGAGGCCGGAGGGTGTCCCAGGGGTCCCACATCTTTGGAGAGTCAGGAGCTCCATCAGGCCAAAGCGTGTCCCAGAAGGTGAGCCTACAGACTGCTGCACAGAACAGACACGGGCTGGGGGGGGGGAACATCTGAAACTCCACCAACATGGTGGCCAAAGAGGTGAAAGAGAGAAAAAAAAAAAGCAAACAACTGCTTGAAGGTCAACCCTTCCACCAGGTTTTGCCTCCTGCCCTCTGCCCCAGCGCTGGACACCTCCTGCCCCAGCCTGGCGTGCGCTCATGGGGACGCGGGCTGTGACAACATCACAGAGGTCACTCTGCCAGGGTTGGCAGGTTAGAACGTGCCCTGCCAGCTTTCCTTCAAGTATGAGACATGAGTTACTCTGGCAAAGTCTCTACTGCACCATGCATCCATCCTCAGGTGGGAAGCCGGAGCCCAGCCCCAGGCTGACCCAGCGATTGCCCCGTGCAGGCGGGGAGCTGAGTCCTTCCTGGGGGGAGCACAGGGCTGAACTGCTGGAAGGTGCCGGTCATCGGTGGGCACACAACTGCATGGCTCCCCGGAAAAGTGTACCAGGGCTCATGGTGCAACCAACCAGCTCAAATCTTCATCGGGGGCCAAGTGGGGTGGGCTTCAGAAGAGCTCTTCTGCTGCATCAGGTTGGTTACATCTCAAGTTTTTCTGCTCTGGAGAAAGGAGGTGTGGTGTTCCCTTGCAGCACAAGGGAATTCGGGATCATTTGAGATCGCTGGCTAGTTTCAGGGACCTTGTGAGACTGTTTTGGGGAAGAACAGTCAGCCTTGTCTCTCCCCCTTGACATGCATGAAGGACTGAAGGAGGGTACTTACATACATTTTGGGGTGTTGAACCTTGCAGTAAGTCTTCTCTGGCAGAGCGCCCTTGGGCACACTGGGAAGCTGGAACTAGGCTCAGCAGGAAAAAGAAATGGAGAACGAGCTGCTTAAGCAACAGCTGCCAGAGATTTGGTCCTGGCTTCATCATTGCACGGTCCACCAATATGTTGCATTCATATGCACGGTGTAGCCTCTGGACTCCTGCCATCCTTAAATGACCGTGGGGTAAATGTTACAGTGACTGGGGTTAATCACTTTTCAGGTTTAGTTTTATATGGAAATGCCTTCCCACTGCCCAGAGCCAGGTAATTTCCATCGCAGATTTGCATCCCTCTAGGGGATGCGTAATTAAGGGGAGATGTTCCTGGTGAGACGGATTTCCAGCCGCCGCTCCCGTGTTACTTTCAACATCGGACGTGAAAACGCATCAGGTGAAATTCGTTTACCAGCGACAGCTCTCCGCCCCGCCGGGGCCCGTTGTCCTGCTGCAGCCCCGGCCGTAGCGCAGGAGGGAGCACGGTCTGCGCCCCAGCGATGCCGCCCGGCACCGGGCAGGGGCTTTTCGCTCCCTCGAGGACGAGTGAGCAGCCAGGATGGATGTAGCATAAATCCAAAGGGCTGACCTGCGGGTGCTTTGGATTTGGCCATGACTCTGATCCAAGGTTCAGGGGCCCTGGCTGGCGCAGGCTGGGGGAGCAGCTGGAGAGGCCAGGGCACACAGGGTGACTTCACGGTCCCCGGTAAAGGGGAAATCAAAGCGAATCTCAGCCACTGCTTTGTACTGACATCCCCAAGACATGAGCCCTGTTCTGCTTTGCTTGCACATGACAACCTTCAGCACAGGCTGGAAACATATCACCGAGGGTAAAAATGCTTAAATCAGTGAAAAACTTGTCTGATGGTGAAGGGGAGAAAGGGGAACAGACTTGGCTGCTCCTATTCCCTTGTGTATTTTCTTCACCTCAACTCTCTTCTGCTTGGAGATAAAACCATACTGCCTCTTGCCAGACTCTATAATTTCACCAAATGCAATCCTGAGTATACGATACCTTACCCTGCCCAGCCCCGAGCATGGGGTCTGGTCTTACAAGGATCTCTCTCTCAGGATCTTCTTTACATGCCTCCAGTTGCCCACTGGCATTTCCAGCTAAACTCTAGGGGACTGGGCATGCAGCTCTGCAAAACTGAGATTTTTTTTTTTTTTTTTTTTCTTTTCTCTCCCCAAGGACACACGTGGGGTGAAGGACTCTCCAGGCAGCATGATGGGGTTGAACTCTCTCCAGGCAGGAACAGAAAGGTTGAGCTGTGGTACCGCAGGGAGCCGCGGACCAGGGATCTGTTCTGGGACACCTCCAGCACGGGCTCCGAGGAGTGGGAAAGTGAAGAGAAGAAGATTCCCCCAAAACCTACGCTTGTGAGGACCAAGACGGAGAGAGTTTCTCTCTTTGATGACTTCTTTGATAGGGATTTCTAGTGGCATGGCTTGGAACGTGCTGAAGAAAAAAGTCCCAGCTCTGATGGGGCTGAAAACCTCTGGATGGGTGGACCGAGGGTGGAGACACGATGTTTGCAGTAAGCAGCATTTCTGGGAGTACGGGCCAGTGGAAAGCACAGCTGGAAAGGAGGAGGTCATCGATGTGGAGTGAATAATGACTGTCTGGGTTATGTGGCTGAATCAAAATATCTAGGGAAAAGATGGCTCGGACTGAGCAACAATGAAGTGGGGATGAAGGGAGGAGGAGGAGGTTTGGCAAAAAAAAAAAAAAAAACAAAAAGAAGCAGAAGCTGGAAAATATTCTGGGTTGAACCCAAATATTAAGTTCGAGCCGAAATTAAATGTTTCACTTGCCTTTGGTTACTCAACCTTTCTGTTTAACTTGTTTTTAACCTTATATCCTTTCCTAAACCACAAAACCCCAGTTCAAAATGCAAGGTAAAATGATTAATCTAGGAAAACTTCAAAATAAATATTCTGGCATTTCTAAAATTCCTTTTTGACATTTTAAAAAAATTTACTCTCTTCCCCTGCCCCAGACACAGAAACACATGTACTTTCTTCAGCACTAACCTCCAGTTTTATGGAAAAATTTCTGAAAAAGCTGGCTTTCATTCACTTGCCTTCTCTGTCCAGGGTTCAGTGCTGCACAGTGAATGGTGGAAGCTGAGGGATCTCCAGCATCTCCTGCAGACACATACCCCAGTGGTGCTGGTCAAGGCTGCTACATCCACCGAGAATTTGGACAAGCTGCCCTGTTGCAATCTGACATTTCCAAGTATATTGAAAAAGATGGTATAGGAAGGGTATCAGATCTATCAAAAAGATTCTTGCAGTTTCCATCTCTCCTAAACTATGTTTTTTCATAAAATTATCCGCTTTTCTTTATGAAATAATTTGTTATCTGAGAGGGAGCTTCACCCAGTTCTCCTGTCTCCTACCTGGTTGTCTTTGTAGGTCCATAAAGGCCACCACAGTAAAGGTTCATCATCTTTGTGGAACACAGTAAGTCATTCAAGCATGTATAGAAAATGAGATTTCAGTTACACATCGTGATATTTTAACGTGACAAATTGGATATGTAGGGGACTGGTGCTGCACAGGGGAGGGAGAGATCCCACCACCAGCCCTGGCACCAGGAAAAAGACCTGCTTGATTCCCAGCATCAGTTTTGCCTCTGTTTGAAGTTGCAGAGCTGGCAAAGGTCACTAACTCTTTCTCGTAACTCCTGCTTGTCTCCCTCGGTTGCTTTCCACTTGGTCTCTCTAAAACTACCAGGGGATAAAACATCTTCAAATCAGCTTGTTGCCACAGGGCAGGGAACCCAGGAGTAACAAATATAATTATCATCACAGTGACTTTAGTTTCCTTCAACTGGAAATTTTATCCTCTTATTTTTCAAGTCAGGACATCCAGAATAACTAGATCTGGAGTCAGTTCTCAATTATCCAGGACAGCTCAGGGCTTGGGTATCTCAGGATAGATGAAACATGTCCTGCATCACTGTTTCAAACCTGTGCAACCTCCCACAAAGATGTTCTGGATGTGTCTGGGCTGCATCCTCAGCTTCCTGGATTACATAGCCAGAAAAAGAGTAGGAGACACATTTTTACACATATTTAGGGGAACTGGACACCCATGGCTGACTCAGTTTCAATGGTATTTAGCGATTTGTCTCTCAAGCTTTACTGAAAATCCCAGGCAGAGGAGGAGCTGGAAATCACAGCCAAAGTCCCAAATTGGAGGCTGGAGCCTCCAAGCACTGCTGCTCAGTACTGAGCTTCTCTGTCCTGATTTCACCTCTCTCTCTTTTCGACATCCCTAAATGTATAGCCCGTTACAGCATGTCTACATGCTTCATGGAGAAAACTGCTCTTTGGAGAAAGCCCACATGCCATGCATTATTTCACTGAAAAGCCAAGAAAACAAACCCCAACACAGAGAATAAAGAAGATGAGAAATTATTTTAATGAGAAAGGAGAACTGCTCATGGCTAATGAGTCCGTGTCTAGAGTCTGTGTGCCTTAAAGACACCCCTGAGAACTTTGCTGATAAACACGGTCATCGTGTGTGAGCTGGAAATATTGTGAGAGCTTTGAGTTCGGCGTTGAGGGTGTGCTGAAAAGGTCAATGATTTAATGGGCTGGAACAATTAATCTGGCACTTGTCTATACACCTGTTCTCTTAATGATGTGACACATCTACCTTCTGTGTTCCCATCTGTCATCAATTAAGCTATAATTGGTGGAAATGCAATTTATCTCAGATAGAGCTGATTAGTTTTCCAATAATCGTGTTGCCAGCATTAGGGAAGAGTGCTGTCCCCTGGAGAAGTGTATGTGGACCAGTTGATCCATATCACAGACTGCAGAGAAGAGATTCTGAACATTAATTTATCAATTTATGGTGTGCAAAATTTGCTCTTATGGAGGCGATAAAATCAGCAAACCCGCTTCCTACTTCTGGTGCTCAAATTTGTTTGACTGTGTTGCTCTCAATTGTATTAATTCATCATTACCTGTAGAGAGGCAGATGGCAACTCATCCTCTTCTCATGTTTTCAAACATCCTTCCAGAGGCTGGAAATCAAAATGTTTTCTCTATTACTAAAGGTGAAACTTAGACTTTTCTACAAATTACAGAAGATGGAAAAAACCCTACAACGCACGTGCTGCAACTCAGCAAGGAAGACTTTAGAGAGCTGGTTTTCTCTGAATAGCTCCCAATTCCAAATGCTCGATATTAGCTCGTCATTTGAAGGCTGAGTCATTCGAGGCAACTATGGAGAGGATGAAACTTGCCACTCAACATAACTGAGCACGCACAGCTTCAATCCAAGCCACGCACCACCGAAACCAGTGTCTGTGTTTTAGCAGAGCCCCCGGCCTTGACTCCAGTGCACGTCCCCGGGGAGGAGAGGCTGGAGCACTGCTGCATCCCAGCTGGCAGGCACGGGTACGGGATGATTTTTAAAGAATAATGATAAGGAAACCTGCACGGGGTTTGATTTTAGTGGTGCGGAGCAATGAGTAGGCAGAGGGGAAAGAGCCAAGAGGGAAGGTTTCAGAGCAGGGAAGTAGAGTGAGATTTGTGTGACCTAAATCTGGCTATCTAAGGGCTGTGAAGCTGATATAAAATAGTCACCTGCTCTACTTATAGCTGAGAGCAGGAGAGGAGGAGTAAGGGGTATCTCCGGGGGGTGATATTTCCCCCTGTCTATCCTGAGATGGGGTGAGTTACCTGTGGGCTGCAAAGGTGTTTCTGTATCTCACACCACCCACTCAGCTTTGAGGCAAGGCTGGACCCATCCTGCAGGTTAAACATGTCTCCACATAAGAGCTGTGCTGAGGTAGAAGCTGCTCAGCTCAGGTTCAGCACCTTCACATTGCCAGTTTTCACCAAAATGCCAAAGAATTGAGATTTTATGCAGTTAATGGCGTGGCTATGGGTATCAGCAAATGGCACAGCCCCAAAGAAAGGGGACATGTAGGTCAGATAGATCCCTGTCCCAAAGCACAAGGACATTTGATCTTCCCAGTGAAATGGTTATAGGATGTTTTTGTTGGTGGTATGAATGTGGCCAGAGCAACCCAAGTTCCTCCAGCTCAGGTTTAGCTGAACCGGTTTTGCTGAAATGTTAAAATAAAATTATAATGCTCAGCCTGAAGCAGACAATTGAGCTGGGGAAAGTCAGCACCAGTGGTTAATGTCTGGCAAAATCATTAGAAATTAAATGTACAACTCATAAGAGGAAATGTCAGTGAACCTTACCTCTGTATTTAAAAAAGCAGGAAGGTATTTCAGAGATCTTGCAGCCAGGGTTGCTGCAAGATCTATTATTGTTCCTGAGCAGAAAAATTATTTACTTACACTTAGTAAAGAGAGGTGTTAGGTAAATAAAGTTGAACAAAGCCACGCTGTAACTGGATCTCATTGAGTGGTCTGGATTAATGTGATTTTCTAACCTTCCTGGGCTCTGTCCCACCTGATGCTCAGAGTATTTGACCTCCTCAGGAATGCAAGTTCTCAGCATCATGCAACATCCTCCCTTCCCTAACACATGCACACGTTCAAAAGCAGAAAAAATCCCCACCATCAAAGGCACTGGGATATATCCACTAAACTTATTAAACCCCTTATCTGCCCTGCCTCACTGGAAGGTGTGTGACTGGCAACTGGGATTGCTTCAATCTGCTTACACAAAGCTGCGAGAGAAAAGCACCCAAGAACATCGACTTGCGCAGCTCCGTTTCAGGCTGTACATGAAGATTAAAGTATTATCATCAGCTTGAAAAATATAAGCCATGGCACATTTTGGCTTATTTAACTAGGCATCCTCAGACTGTGCTGCGATAGCACAGCCCTAAACCTGTTGTTTTCCAATGCTGGAAACAGCAATTAAGCCCTTATGGTTTCCAGCTAATAATAATTCCTGAGCCAGGTCAAGACATGGCACAAGGGACCCCTGAGGAATTAAAAGAAGGGAGGCAGCTCTTGTTTCTCTTCTGAGTCCCTTTACCTGCTCCTGATATGCAAAGTTGCCCTTTCTGGGCTCTCCCCTCCCTCCCAGCAGTGCTGGTGCAGGGGTCTCTGGGCCAGGGGGAACACGATCCATCTCCACTGGTACCTCCTGTTCTTACAGGAGCAGGAAAAATATTTATTTTTTGCTTAGCACAATGGTTGTAGCTTTTTGCCCCCTACTGACACGTTGTGGGAACGGCTCATCCTGTGAATTCCTGCAGAAAGGTTTAATCGTGTGCTGGATCTGTCTCCTGGTGCATCCAGCATCGGCTGAGCAGTCTGTGAAAATAAAAGCCAAAGTATGTAAGGCACTTGGCACACCGACAGGAGAGCAACACGTATTTGATCAGTTGTTCCTTGCTATAATTCCCTCCTTGCCTCACCCATTGAGCACATTGTTTCATCATTCCAGAGAAAAGGAAAATGGGAGAAATTCTGCATCTCACTTGCAAAACAAAG